AATTTGTTGGAATGCTTGAAGTATTTTAAGGATGTTGGGTGTATTTTTAGGTTGAGGGAAGCTATGATTAAGGTTATTAGAGGAGATGACAATTATATTAGAAAGGAGGAGGAATAATAGTTATAAAAGAAAGCTAAAACCTTACTAAAGACCTATGATATTAGACATCAGCTTCATATGATATTTGAGCAACCACTATGCTTTTTCACATAAAATTTGCACAATCAAATTAAACTTGAATTTTTTTTCAATGAATTCAGAAATACAAAGTAAAATCATATTTATGAGCCTTTTCGATGTTTAGACAACTTGAAAATCTATAGAAGCTAATATAATACTATTATATAGATTGATAATAAGAAAAATCAAAATTAAAAATAATATTAAGCTTTTGAAAATATTAAAATTCCAAATCACCAAATAAGGCAAGAAGTTGTCCTAAAATAAAGAATATTTTGAAGATTCTTTTGCTTTGTTGACCACCTAGCTAGCCATCAAGGAACTTTAACTTAAGTTTTTTAATTATTCTTCAATAATTTAGAGAGATTATGGGTCATCCATGAACTTGCATGGAGACTTGTGCTTAATAAAAATTAACTCAAATCTTATTACAACGCCGTAGTTTGTGACCTCATCCTTGAGCTTCCTCTTATTGTTGCATGCATCATCTATAAGCTACACCATATGGATCTATGCTTTTCTCTATTGCATCGTCTTTGTTTTGTCATTGTACTAATCTTCGCTTATAAGACTGAGACAAGCTTTCATATAAAGATATTATTACCATTCATAAAATTTCTTTTTCTACACAACTAATGTTAATCTCTTGGTTGGGAGCTTTCAATCAAGAGATCTTGAGTTCAAAACTTACACATACAATATGTGTGCAAGTTTAACTTAATTGGCTCAAATTAAAAAATATATATATATTCTTCTTTATTCTTCTTTTGTCTTCTTGGCTATCTTCTATATTCTTCTTTTATCTTCTTGTGTAGGGGGAGAGAAGATTCTTTCAGCATTAAAGATATATATTCTGCCTCTACTTCTCTTTGCTAGCATAGAAAAATCAACATGTTTTCATATTTCTCTATACAATAAATTGTTTTGGCTATCTTATTAATGAGGATATGTGATCTGAAATATTCGCTTTACAATAATGGCATGAATAGGAGGAAGAAGAAGACATGGAAAATAATGGGAATTCAGAAGCGTCAATGAAGCTGGATTCCCTTTGGAAGGAATCTAATGTCTGGGCTTCTTCGTCTTTTACCTGCTTTGCATTATCCTCCTCCTCTTTCTCTTCTTCTTCGACTTCTCTTCTCTTGAATCCCTATGTCCTTAACCTAACCCTGCCGTCAAAGCAATAAACTGTGCGGAAATAATTATTTTCTTTTTTTTTTTGGGAAAAATTTAGTATTGGATTTTATAAAAGAAAATAATTAATCAATATATATATGATTTTGCATTTTTGCTGGATAGAGAGTTTTAGGAACTTAAAATTTTTTTGTTTATGTCTTTTGTTGAAATTAGCATATTCTATACTATTAATGCTATTTAGTATTTTGGAATAAATCTTCTATATGTATGTTTTATATTATTTTGGATGATTAGATGGCTCTCGAGAAATAAAAGGTTGGATTAAGAATTAATAAATGTGTAGAAAAAAATTGGTTAAATTTCTCCTTTAGGTCTTGGGGTTATAGAATGGTATTAGAGTGAGGAATTTAATTAGTACTAGAGACATAGGAAATGATTCGTATGCTAAGAAAGAGAAGTTAAGTAGTTCGATGCTAATTTATGTATGAGTAATTATTTATAAGTTAATAAGCTTGTTATTGAGCCTTCTTATTTTGAATAGTTTGAAGTGTTGCAATAAATGGACACTAAAGACCCTGAAGCATCTGATGGATAGGGATTCATATATGTCATAGTTCATAGTGCTATGAAAGAAGTAACACCAAATTTAATGATGTAGTTTACTTGGCTTGTTGCATAATTAATGGGAGAAGCTCATAGTAAGATGTTAGGTGTGAAGGGAGATACGATAGTTCATTAATTGCAATTATTCTTGAGATTGAAGTTTTCTTGTTTTTAAGGAGCTGTAGATCCTCATGATACAAAAGATTTGTTGTTGAGGTGGGAGAAATCATTTGACAGTATGCAGTGCTAAGAAGATAGAAAAGTGTCATTGGTAGCATTTCTTTTTTATGGAGAAACTAAGCCCTGGTGGGTAGGCAACCAGTGGGAAAGAAAAGCCAATGTTGAGATTTCTTTAGAGAAATTTGTGGAAACTTTTAGATATTGGTTTGAATTGACATCTGCGAGGCAACAAATGCAATAACCATTCTTAAGGCTAGTTCAGGGAAGAAAATCTGTAGTGTAGTATAAAGTAGAGTTTATAGCTTTAGCTATGTATAATATTTAATTAGTAAGTACACTAGAAGAGAAATGTTATCAGTTTTTGAGAGGATTGAGGGATAGTTTGTGGTATCCACTGGTGTCGTTGCTTATCCAAGATTTTTTTTTTTATTGGTGCTTCCACTGAATCTTGACCATCATAATTGGTTTGATCCTTGACTATTAAACATTGGAAGCTAGAATACGGTAATGTTCTTCTATAAATGTTAGATTGGGCTGCACTTCTACTTTAGCTTCTCAGACTCTCTGTTCTACATTTGACACCCATTTTCTCAGCACATACACATGAAACAAATTATGGACATATGACATGTGGTCTGGCAGAAATAACTTGTAGGAAAATTTACCAATCTGCACAATCACTTCAAATGGTCCAATATATCATGGGATTAATTTGATATATTTTCAAATCTAGTCACACCTTTATCATATATGATTCATAGATTGATTCCTGAATTGATGTGCGTTGAAGCGGGAGGCTCTGTTGTTGTGATTGTTATACCTGTTGGCCATTAGAAGGGGTTTCAATTATGCTTCTAAGTGTGGGATTATTTCCCACAGATGACTCCAAATTATTGCATGCTATTGTATTTGTGGTGATAGGGTGAAAGAATTTTTTGTCTTAGTTATGCATATATATCTAGCACACAAATAGAATGCTGGAGAGAGAGCGGAGAAATACCAGAATTTTTTTTTGCTTGGAAAATCCAAAAAGGGAAACATCATGCGGCTTGACCCAGATGAGAAGATTCTACTAAAGTTGAGTAAATTATAAATGTTGCCTTGCTTCTTAACTTTTAGGTGTTACAATTATAATAGTTTGGAGAGTCGGTCAGACTTCGTATGGATACTCATGAGGTTGTAATGTCCGCACTCAAGTTGAAAGTTTGGCGATAGAGATCGGCAATCGGGTGTAGGTCCGGTGACGATCTGGTGATGATCAAATGTCAGACGAAGGTTTGGAGGTGATTTGCTGTTCGATGGAGGTTCGACATTAATCAACAGTTGGGAGAAAGTTTGAAGATGGTCGATCTAATGGCAGTCTGGTGGAAGTCTTGTAGTGGTTGGTGGCTCGGCAGAGTTCTGATGATAGTTTAGAGAAAGCCCGACGATAGTCTAGCTAGAGTTCGACAATAATCTTGGCGGAAGTCAGACGATGGAAGGGTGGAAGTATGATAACAGTAGAGCGAAAATTCGAAGACGGTTGAGTGGAACCCGATATTGGTCAGTCGAAACTCTGATGGTTGTTGGGCTAAAGTCCGATGATAGTCAGTGTCCATGTGAAAGTCTAACGATGGTCGACGATGATTGACAGTCAAACGATGGTCCAATGATGGTCGAGCTGAAGTCTGACGGAGATCGGTGCATGTTGGATGGAGGTCAGGCAAAAGTTCAACGTCGGTGGTAGGGAAGTTTGTGGGGTCGGGCGGTGGTCCGGTGGTGGTCAACAGAAGTACACCGACAATGGTTCTTAGGTAGAACTCTATGATCCTTGAAACCAAAAAGCTCTCTCCAATCTCCAGCAAAAGAGTCCCTCTCATATAGAGAGTGGGAGTCTATTTATAAATTTTAAGAGTGACATGCTTTGTATATATGCCAAAGATCAAGGATAAATTTGGCGTACTCCATCAAACGACGCATATTGATTTTCTCGGTCATAGAGCTTTTTTCAGGTATTTAAGTTCGTTGGACATGTCAAAATTAAGCGATATTGGGCTTATTGGATTGGGCTCATCCAGTCGCTTGATTCAATTTTAAGCATGTCATGTTTAGAGATCATTTGGTTATCTAATTAATGCTTTGAACCTTTTAAATATGCTTCTGTCTCTTGATTTCAAACCATTTTAGTTTGGATTGGACCGATTCTGGTGTTGTTGAATTCGTCTCCTTAAGATGCTCAGTTTGATTATAAGTTTGCTGAAATTAGAGTTCGAATGATCCCGAATTTAATTTTGAAAGTTTTTTACTTGAATATGCCTCAAGATTCGTGCTCAATAAAGGTGTTTTTTTGTGAAATATCAATATTATTAAAAAAATTATCTATTTATTAATTATAAATAGATAATATAATTTAACATAAATAACTTATAAATGCAAATTTATATTGTGAATTTATTATATAAATTCATATTTAATTTATATGTTTAAATTTGAAAAAAAAAATTACATAAATTTATATCATTGCATAATTATTATATTAGTATTATTTCATTTTTTTATTTTAATAATTTAAATATTTTACATCATCCCGTTTAACCTCCAATTATATTCCGATCGAACCATTAAACTTATCACAAGCGGCAAAAATTTTGTGTTAGGAGTTTGGACCATCTTTAACTACACATTTCATGAAAAAATACATTGTAATTTATTTTATAGCCATATTCATATTTTAATTTACTTTAAAAATTATTACAAATATCTTTGATTCAGGATTCAATATTAAAATAAAAAAATTAACTTCATACGCATCTTTACAATTTAATCATTTGCTTTTATAATAATCATAAATAAACCCCTTAAAAATCAAATAAAATATAATAACCAAGAAACGGTATCTCGAGCCGGGTTCGGTACGCGACGAATCGACCCCGCTGGACCCTCCCTCGTTCTCTCCTCCATCTTATCAACTTTATATCCGTTCTCAGCGGCGAATCTTCGAGTCTTTGATGCCCAATCTATGCCGGTTCAGAACAATCAAACTCCGGATTCCGGTTCATACGAACCGCTTTCTGCAACTCTTCTCTCATCACTTTCATTGCTTCTTCCTTCTATAAAGTAGCCGTCTTTCTCCTTGCTTCACTTGAAAATAAAATATTGGGGGAAGAAGAAGAAGAAGAAGCAAAAATGGGATCTTTGATGGCAGAGCTCGGCCTCGATTTGAAGCTTTTTACCAAAAAAACCATTGGGTGCTTTTTGAAGAATGAGATGAAGCTGAAGGATTTCGTCGGCCTGCTGGAGGAAGAACGCCAGAAGATCGAAGCTTTCAAGCGCGAGCTTCCTCTTTGCATGATTCTCGTCAACGACGGTGCAATTCTGCGCCATTTTTTTTCTTTCTCTGCGCATTCTCTTTGATCTTTTCAATGAAAAATTGGATTTTTACACTATTTTTGTCAGTGATCGATGAGCTGAAACTTGAGGCGGAGCAATGTCAGGGCGGCGACGGTGTTATTGAGGAGGAATTCATCCCTCTCAAAGCTAGATCAGATGAAGAAGACAAAGAAGATCAGAAAGATGTGAAATTGGAGAAGGATAACATGGAAAAGATGGATTGGATGAGCTCTGTTCAGCTCTGGAACGATAATTGCAGCGATGAGAGTGTCAATTTCAAGAAAGATTCCCACAAGGTGATTTATCCATAAAAAAAAAAAAAATCTTTTTTATTTTGTAGATTCGTATTAAAAGTGGGGTTTGGCAGCAGCAGAACGGCGATGCTGTGTCGCTGGAATCCAAAAGTCGAAGCGCTGGCATCGGAGCTTTCTTGCCGTTGAAAGTTATTCTGACGAGGAATGAAGAAAAAACTTTGAGTATCTCGTTGCCGGATCTTCCTACGGCGATCTCGGCTCCGACAGCCACTACCTCGGCGGTCGCCAGCGACAATCGCATCATCGGTCAGTCGGCGCCATCGACTTCGGCTGGCAGCGCTTACCTGGTCTTGCAGGCTCAGAGGAAAGCGCGGCGCTGTTGGTCGCCGGAGCTTCACCGGCGTTTCGTGATGGCTTTGCAGCAACTTGGCGGTGCGCAAGGTTAGATGAAAGTTATCGTAGTTAATTTCATGGCTAAAAGAATAGGATAAACAAAACCCTTCTTTTTTATAATTTTATTTTATTCTTTATTTCTGCTGTTCTTGTTTGGAGGACTGCAAACAGTCATTTTGGGATTTTGTTTGTGGTGGTTAATTGGAATGAATTCAAAAACAAATTTGTAATTTTTTTCTTGATTGGGATTTCAAGATGAGAGAAAGGATTGAATATAGAGAAAAAATTTTCTTTAATAAATTTATTTCCATTCAAATTTGAGCAGAAAAAGGACTGCTTGGAGCACTGGGTACCCAGCGGTATCAAGTGCTGGTACTTAGCGCCCAACGATACTTGTGCGGACGGTTCTCCCTGTTCGCCCTCCGCACCTAATAATCTCTCCAATCTTTGGGGCTGTTTGGTAGCAGCTGATTTCAGTAAGATTTTGAAAATCCGTTAAATTCAGATTTCGGAAATCCTAGGAATCTAAATCCTAAAAATTATTTGATAACATTCATGATAAATTCTATTAAATCTCGTGTGACTGTTTGGCTATAGAACGAATTTAACGAGCAGAGGCTTCCTCTCGAGCCAACGGATTTCGTAAATCCAACAAAAAATAAGGTTTCAGAAATATGGGATTTATCATGAAAAGGGGGAATTTTCCGGCGGCTTTCATTTGCCGTGAGATTTGATTTTGCATTTTAGGCCGCTTGGCCGAATTTCGCTCAAATTCACCTGAAATCCGGCCTAAATCCTGCTCCCATACAGCCCCTCTGTGTGAATTCTTCATTTAAATAGATCATTGATGTCAAATGATAAGTTTTCATCTTCTTTCCTCTTGCAGTTGCTACTCCAAAACAGATCAGAGAACTGATGATGGTCGATGGGCTGACAAACGACGAAGTAAAAAGCCATTTGCAGGTTGACTGAATCATTTTGATCTGAAAAAACTTAAAACTTTTTCTGCATCTTTTTCCATAACAAAGAAAGATCAGTACACCTCTGATTCTCCTGCTGATCATCCATTTGATCAAATTTTATTTCCTTGCTTCAGAAATACAGATTGCATACACGAAGAATGCCCAGTTCTACAGCGACTGAAGCGAACAAAGCAGTCGCCATGGTTGGAAGCTTGTGGGCTTCTCAGGATCAAAGCCAGATCTCTCAACAAAGTGTTACTCAGTTTGGTTCACCGCAAGGACCCCTTCAGCTGGCCTGCACTGCACAAGCTCTTTCTGCAACGGGAGGAGATAGCTGCGAAGATGATGGAAGATCAGAAAGCTATAGCTGGAAATGATTGGATTTCTTCCTTTATTGATTAGGTGAGAAGCAGTTGCAGAGCTAGTAAAGAAATACTTCATAGATGTATAGTATGATCCAGAATTTTGCAGATTTGAGTCAACAATAACTAAGCTGTAGTGGAGCTGTTCACCTGAAGTTTTGGGTTGTTACAGTGCTTTCTAAGCTTCAATTTTCTTATTTTGTTTGGCCTATGCGACATTAAAGAGCAAACATTTTATTTTATCTGAGAGAGAGAGAGAGAGAGAGAGGAGACTGCTTTTGAGTATGATGTATGTGAATTCGAAAAAATTATTATGTGCGGATGTCGAACGTCGTTTAGGAATTTTTATTGCGTCCTCCCTCTGACGTAGAGATACGTCCTCCCACCGCTAAAAAACTCAGTTTTTGCTCGGTATTGCTAGCTATTATTTGGTATTAACGAAGAATATCATCATGTGAAGACCAATACCGAGTCATACCGAGCTATACCGAGCAATACCGAGTTTTTTCTAGGAAAAACAAGGTATTTTTTTGTATTGCTCGGTATAGCTCGGTATTGCTCGGTATAACTAGGTATTGGTCTTCACATGATGATATTCTTCGTTAATACCAAATAATAGCTAGCAATACCGAGCAAAAACCCA